CATTAAACAGCACGGTACAATTTTTTCACCATTTTCCACATATGCATAGTAGTTTTGTATTACTTATGTATATTCTTTCTTATTACAGCACTTGGATGCATGCTTTCATTACATAAGACAACTTGCCAAGTTTGGTGAAGGTGTGAAGATGAAAGCTACCACTACAGACTGCATATTTGATATGTCAATCAAGTCGACATACTCCAAGTTTATTCAAGACCCAAGCATTGTTGAGAAGAAGGATGAGCTAATCAAAACCATCAATGGTGAACGGTTATCATTTAGTACTGCATGGAGAGATGTTGAATCTGTGTTGATGCCCATTATGCCCACAAATCATGCTCATTGGATGTTAGGGCAGCTTGATATTACTAACCATGTTCTTTACATATATAATTCAAGCAACAAATCATACAAGGACAACAAGGTTCGCGAAGGGGTTTTATCGCTTGTGAAGACTCTTACACACCTTTTAAAATTTGTCGGGCTATGAAAGGAAACTAGTGATAGTATTGGTGACAAATCTGGGGAACTGCATGTTAATATTGTCCGTGGTTTACCCCAACAACAAAATGGGTAAGTTTCGTTATGGGCATTGCAAGTTTTATCATTTTCCATCAACATTTTGTAATTATTTATGGTTTGTCTTCTTTAAATATTACAGGCATGATTGTGGGGTTTTTGTGATAAAGTATGCACAGTATTTGTTGTACAATGATCTTGGCAATATGCCGATATTATTTGATGCTGGGAATGCCAGACTTGAAATTGCAGCGTTGCTGTTCAAAAACAAGCAACTGAAGCAGATTGGAAAGGGAAGTTCAAAGTCAGATGAATGAACTCCTGTTGATGGCATTATTTTCATGATGGATTAGATTGATAGCTGTTCAAAATTAGACAAACAGATATTTTTATGATGTAGTTGATAGATGTTATCTTTGTAATATATTTTGGAATTGAATTTGAATTTGTTTTTGTTAATTGGTAGAAGGTGAAAGTATTGGTGTTTATGTGAATGATTTTGTTTATATCTTCTAAGTTTTTTATGGATATAAAAGTCTATATTCGCACGGTCTGAACAGGTCACGTGAGAATACTGCAGAGTCTAAACAGGTCACAAATAGTCACATGCGAGTAATGTGTTATATAACCGCATGTCACAAATCGTCACAAATAGCAACAGTTGGTTAAATTGCATGACTTGAGTAGGTCACAAGTGGTCACATATGAGTACTTTCTTATATAACTGTAAGTCACAGATGGTCACGAATAGTTTGATTAACTTGTTACATATGAACAGGTCACAAATGGTCACAAATTCTTAACATTTATCATCGACACTCTTACAAAAGAAGTAAGCATAGAATTGGTCCCATCTAGTGGAAGATGACATTCAGGTTTAGTTTGAACACACAAGTTGGTCTCATCTAGTGCAAGATGACATTCAGATTCAGTTTGAACACACAAGTTAAACAAAAAATATAGAGCTTATTTTATGTTTGAAATGGTCACAGACGTTCACAATCATCAAAAACAGAGTTACAATCAATGTTTGTTTACACAGCCCTTTTCCAGAAATAAGTGACATCGTGAGAATAACGAAAGCTCAATGCATAAATCTATCAACTTGTATAATCCAAAAAATACGTCGTTCAGCAATAAAATGAAACAATTTGCAATTACAAAGAGTATCATTTTGTAAAAAAATTATGCTAAGCTATTTGAATTTCTTTGGATCTTTCTTTATTTTCAGTTTTTTGTCATTCTGGTTAAGTGGCACCAAGTTCCTGCATGTTCGACGATTGTGCCCGAATTCACCGCATCTTCCACATTTCACAACTTGTGATCTTTCATATGCTGGCTTCTTTCTCTTCTCAGTAGGCCGTCCAGAACTTCTCTTTTGGTTTGGAGCAAAAACAACTCTATTACTTATATCTTCTGGCAAACTCCATTCTGATTTATTACCTACAGGAAATACAGTCTCTTTGTAGGTATTTAGATATGCATCTCTTGTGTAATACATAGAGCAAAAGTCATATACATTCAGCTTCAATGTTGCTATTACTGCCAGTGCATGTGGACAGGAAAGTTGATCCACTTGAAACATTCTACAACTACATGTATGTAGAGTTATATCAATCATGTATGATGAAGAATTGTCCCTCACTTCAAATAAAGCGTGACTTGCAGGTGAAACCTAAAAATAAAAAATATTTAAAGTTATACTTGTGATCAACATAATAAACATAGTTTTCTTGTTTTTACCTTTAGATTTCTCACATCATTGCTCATTTCCCTTAACAACTTCTCATATTTTGTTGCAAGCTTTGTGAAAGTGCCATGTGCGTCATCTCTATTTTTGCAAAACCAAGATTAGACCATTTACCTCAATGATTTTAGAAGTGCTTCAATGGGGTAATTTTTTGCCGCCTTCGTGACTGCATTAACAGATTCTACTATGTTTGATGTCAGAGTAGAGTATCTATTGGTTGGCATGTGCAATCTTGACCATTTTTCATATCCAACATCCAACTACAAAATAATTTTAGTTATTAGATAACAGATTCAAGTAACAAGTCACATATGGTCACAGTTAACTCTAAAAAGTTTACAGATTGTCAGTATTATCACAGAACAGGTCACAAATGGACACATTCATAAAACTATATTATGTTTTCAATTATAAATGAGACCACATGCTAAATATGCACTGTATATTTCATTCATAATCATGTTTCAATTTCATGTAATAAAAAATGAAATATAGTTTGTACATTAAACATGCGTGATCACAGATATTCATAGAAATTTCATAACATCACAAAAATAGTGACAGGAAGTCATATAACATAAGTTTCAGACAATCACATACCAAATATCCCCTGATATCTTCATTTATTGAGTCCAATTGCTGCATTTGGTATTCAAATTCATCCACTGTATAAGCTCTTACAGCAGAATTGAATGCATGTGTGACATTGTGACCTGATTTTGCATAATGTGACTTCAAATTTTTCAGCAAATGGTATGAACAGATCCCATGCATTGCCTCTGGATATACAAACTCAATGGCATTTCTTATGCTATTGTGTCTATCGGATACTATACATAATCCATCTCTAGATCCGTATGCCCTCTTCAACACCTCAAGAAACCATCTCCACGACTTATCGTTTTCATTATCCCCAATCCCAAAAGCTAGTATGAAGATATTGTTGTTTGCATCTTGTGTACAAGCAGTAAAGAGTGTACCGCCGTAGTGACCATTTAAATATGTACCATCAACAACAATGACTGGTCTACAATATTTCCAACCACCAATCGATGCACCCAAAGCCATAAAACAATATTTAAATCTATCTAAATGATCAGTTTCTATTCGTGTGATTGTCCCTATGTTCATCTGTTGTAACATAAAAAAATAAGAAGGTAGCAACTGAAACGATGTTGTTGGATCACCTCTAATCAATTTTAATGTCTGCTCACGTGACCTCCATGCCTTCATATAATTCACCGATACTCCATATTTGTGCAACATGTCATTTGAGATATCATTAGGAGTGTATATTGTACGTGAAGAAGTGTATTTATACCTGATGTAGTTTGACACCATTGAGCTAGATGCTTGTCGATGAGATCCTAAAACAATGTTCATTGAGCACGTGTGACCATTATAGATTTCCCTGATCTTAAACATTTTCGTTTCTCCCAAGCGTGAAGATCTAAATATCCACTTGCAATCATCTTGAGAGCACTTTATTACGTACTCTTTTTTGTCCGATCTCAACACCTTATATTCAAATTTGTTTTGTATGGCATAGAGGGCCAAACTCATTTTCAGTACTTCCTTATTGCGAAAAACATTTCCCTCCACTACTTCTCTAGCATTTGCTTGAGATATCAATGTCACATCTTCTTCAATGTTTCCATTCTCAATTGTAGTAACCGAGTCACATATATCCTGAGCTATTTGTTATAAAGAAACCACATTAGTCGATGACTCAATGGTAGTAATTGATGACTCTGGGCATTGCAATGCACCTGTTGACTGCCATGAGTCTGTAGTGATAACATCAACTGCAATAGGATAGTTCGATACAATGCCATCCAAAGATCTTAGCCTCAAATACGTTAAGACATTATTATTACTTAGTATCCGAACTGGAGGTAAACTAGAATCCAAAGAATATGTTAATCTCACACCTACTTCTGCATGATTAAGCCCCAATTCTGAAATAACAAGGTTAACCAACTCATCATACTTGCACGTATCATTCACTAGTATAAGTGATGTGTGACCTCCATATAACAGGCACACGTTCAAAATTGTCATCCCTGATCACAAACAAATAACAGAATGTCACATTTCATTCACTAAAATCAGGAAATGATCAGATGCAATGACATTGATGAATACAGGTCACAGATGAAGAAGTCACAGATCTATCAATACAGGTCACAGAAATTATTTAATGTAAAGAAATTCACATACGGTCAACAAATTTAGCGTCGCAGAGAATCAATTTTCAATGCAATGACATTAATCACAGAATAAACTAATTCTACTTATGGACTGTCAAAGACTGACATATATGTCACAATCTATTTAATTCAGTGGTCACAACTAGTCACAATTAACAAAAATATGCACCAATGTGATTGAATCACCAAAATAGTCATAGATCAACACGTTCATGACTGTAAATTGAAAAACAAAAATTGCATACTACCAATGGTTAATGAAAAAAATACACGTCACACACTGGGCAAAATATAGTTTATTCTTAACGGCGTGAAATCTCTTATTATGTTTGGATAAATGTTTCAATAACTTCGAAAACACCTATTTCTTCAAAATCAGAAGCTATACTAAGTAATTATATGCTTACCTTCGAAATCAAATAAAAAAACTTCAGTTTCTGCTTTGGGCAAATTGAATTCTTCCATACTGGAACTTCGACTTTCTCCAATTAAATGAAAATTACCAGCATATCGACGTTATTGATGGATTGCAGAGAATGCCAGGGAAATTTTCGTGATATTTTTGGAGAGTTTTTGGTGAATCTGTTGTTTAGAAAGAGAGTTTTTGTGTAACCCGTTTTGTAGGGAGAGAAAATCTCGTTTGATTATGGTTGGAAAATAAAAAATGTCTTTAATTATGGCATATTAGTAAGTTGTAAGAGATTATAATTTTTTTATCCAAATTTAACGTATATAACATTATATTTTTATATATTTAATATTTTCAATTATCACCTGAATTATGAAAGTTTTAAGGAACTTTGTTAATTGTGAAACATGTTTATATAATATAGTAGATATGTGGTTATCCCTTTATTTAAAGTCAATTCAATCCAACCCAACCCAATCAAGTTTGGGTTGGTTTGGGCTTCGGTCCAATTAAAGTTAGATTCGATTATATTTTTGTTAAATTTAAATAAATTTTTAAAATTTGAAATTACTTGAAAATCTCTGTTTTTTTTTTTTTAAATACCTATTTAAGGAATTCTTTTTGGAAAATGATGTATACATACGTTTAACATTTATGAAGTATTTATTATTATTTTTTATAATTTTTTGGGATTTATTCATTTCATCATCATCTTCTTAATTTTTACTTTATTATGAAATAATATTTCATTTGTAAATTGTGTTTATCGGAATCAATCTATATAAAATAAAATGGATGTTTATAAAATATAAGTCCTTTTCATATCTTTACTATTGTGTTTGTTTAGGTTTTTTTTTTTTTTTTTTCATCTTAGATATTATTTTTTTAAATTCATTGGGTTGGGTTGGGTTTCGGGTTATGATTCATAACCCGAAACCCAACCCAACCTCAAAAATATTTTTTCAACTCAATCAAACCCAATTGAACTTAAAAAACCAACCCAAATCGATCGGTTTGGGTTGATCGGGTTGAACGGGTTGGGTTGAGTTTTGCCCAGCCCTACCTCCATCATAGATTCACAGACCCGACGGTGGTTCCGACGAATCCAGCTAGGGCGGCCACCATCTGCATTTGCCACTGATCAATAGTGTACCTTTCTAAGTTGAGGTAAAACTCTTGACCATTTTGGTTAGGGTTTTTGGAAATTGTACTTTGGTTGGGGTGTAATTTTTTTATGTCGTATATTTGATGGTTTATATCTCGTTTTGGTGGTTCTATCCAAAGATTTGAATTGAACAAAATATGAGTGAAGAATGAATTTGAATGGTAAAATATGGAAACCGGTGTGATAGATTGTCGTTAATCTATGATTTCTTATTGTTTAATACACTCCAATGACTTGGATAGTGGGGTTTGAATATGAAGCGAATGATCGATTTCTGCCTCGGATCAATAAGAGAAGGAAATGGAGATTGTGAAGAGTAACATATTTTTGGATATCTTTTATGCAGCATTCTAATTTTATAGTTACTGAGATTTACTAGCAATAAGTGCAATGATTTTAAAACGTTACTGAGAGGTTTGGCTAAAAATTCAATTTTTATTAGATTTTGATAAAAAATAATTAAATATGGAGTTGAAAAATTTATAAAAAGTTGCGGATATCATGAGATGTGATTAAAAATGAGTTTGAAAAAAAATGAATTTTAGAAAATGAGGGACAAACATTGGCATAATTCACATAAAAATAGATTTTTGGTTATTTATTTTTGTTATAGAAATGAAATTAAGAACGAGCGAAGAAGATAAATATATAATTATATCTGTATATTTTGCGTCAACTCAATACGAGAGAGTTGAGGTTGAGAATGAATCAATTTGGATTTTGAAATTATTAGTAATAACAATTTAAATGGATATTTTATGAATTGTTTATTAAGGAGAAGCTTATTTTGATAAAAGAAAAAGAGTGAAATATGTATTTCTGTTGCCATCTTGGGTGGCCTTGAAATGAACCAAAATAAATAAAAATAAATAAATAAATAATCCTCTTGCTCAGGGCCCAGCCCAGATCCATTTGCGACCTTTCTTCTTAGTATAGTTTAAAAGGGTATTGGGCCTAATTTACCCAAAATTTTAAACCCATGGTCCAGCCCATCCCAGACCAGCCCGTGTTCCACTTCACAATAGACCAAGCCCAAAACAATAGAAATTCATAAACCTGGATAACCCATCCCCTTCTTTCTCGCACTGCCTCTCTCTCTCACCCTTCCTCACCATTGGTCCAGCTCAAATAAACATTCCAGCCTCCAGACGGGCCCGTACCAAACTTCAGTTGTTTTGAGATAGGCTCAATTTCTGGGATTCTCCTTCTCCTCTGTTTCAAGGTAGCTATAAGCTTTATCAAGTTGAATTTATGGGTTTGTTTATTTATATGAGGTTGTTTTCATGTAATTTTTAGCCTGAATTGGAATATATATGCTGGATTGATTTTATGTTTCAATATGTATAAACTATTCCCCAGAAATAGGGGAACTTGGGGATAAAACTTTCCAAGCAAAAAAGGGATAAATTTGTAGGGTCCGAAATCCATTGCTGAGGAAATGGCATTTGTTGGTGAAGAAAGTGACATATTATTTCTGTACAGAGATTTTACAAATTGATTGAATTGTTTGTATTCTCTTTTGTTATGTATTTGTTTGGTTGATGGGAGTGGAGGTTGTTTCCATGGAGTATCTTTGGATTGTTTTTTCCAATTGAATATGGCTTAAAGCTTAAAGGAGCTTTACATTTATCTATTCTGATTTGCATGCACATATATATAGCAAAAGCTCTTTCTAAGACAAGAATTCCTCTAAACTATTGTAGTTCGGCGGGCCTTTGAAAAGATTTAGTTTTCCATATTCTTCATTCACTGATGAGCAGATAAAGAATTCAAACACCAAAAGCAAGGTGATTGTCCCTCGTGAGTTTGTATTCTATTTGTGGTATTGTACTAGGGTAAATCTTTGAAATTCCATCAGATCAAATCAAGAATTCTTGCCTGTATATGATATAGCTAAAGACGTCTGCTCTACAATCATATTCACCGAAACACTCTAGCTGGTGACACCATCTTAGTTGCTGAAAATGCTTTCTTGAGACCAATGTGCAGAACTTGTTTAAAAAGTGGTGATATGTCAAACTAGTGATGTTGAATTGATTTTATCATATGATATAAAACCTAATTGAATTCTCAATGGTTCTATCCAGTCCAACTGATTGTTTCTAGTTTTTGTGTCATTTACCAAAATTTTATTACATCGGCTCTCTTAAGTTTCAGCCCCCCTTTCTAGTTTTTGTGTCATAGACTATCCTGTATGATTGCCTCGGGCATGTGGGTCATTAGTCCATTGACCATAATGTTACTTATGGTGTTTGCTGGTGTCTTGAGCCTAGTGTGAGTGAAGGATAAATTTGTATTAAGATAAGAAATTTTATATCTTAGGTGGGAAATGATTTGCATGAGTGAAATTTTTCTGCGAAAATGATTAAACATTCGACGACCTGTGGAGAGCATTGGCGATGTAATTTTAATGATTATTTATTTAAACAAATTGTCATTAATATCCTGTGTTTTGCAAAAAGTTATTTAGCCTGCAAATGTGAATATTTTTATTCTTGTTATTAAAAAATAATAATGTACCCCCATTTTTAATAAAGCATTTCATATTAATTTTAATCACATGCAATTTCAAATAATGAAGATTGGGATGTTAGTCCAGCCAGTTGAATGATTTTCCCACTGGTTTTCTTTCGTACGGTTTTTATTACATAGCTCAGCTTTTTTTCCCAATTTTCCAGTTGAACTTGGCCCTGTCCAATTCCTTTTTTTTATTTTTTATTTTCATTTTTATTTGGACCCTGTCCAATTTTTACGACATTGATCAAACATTGCTCTTCGACTGATGCTGTACATCACAAATAATTCTTAATAATAATGTCTTAAACAAGATTATTAAATTGGTGAACACTATTTTTTAATTATACTTGACTTTTTTATATTTATTTTTTCTTTATCATAACTTTCTTAAAGTTAATAATTTTGATCTTCTCAATGGATAAATATGTAAAAATAAGAAGTAAGATCATTTTTATAAAAGTACAAGATCTGGCATGTTAAAGTTGTAGCTTTCATTACAGGAATCATTAGTCTACGAATTTTTTTTCCTGGAATTAATTTGATAGTTGTATTTGTGGTACAGTGTCGAATAACAATTTTTTGTTGTATTGACCTCTGTAGGTTTAGCCGTTTAGGGTTTTGCTGTTAGAACCCCCACCATTCCTTTCCCTCTATTTCCTCTCCCTTTCTCTGCAACAATTAATCTCAACCAGATATGCCTCTGCAAATTTGTTATATATTACTTTCTTCCGTTTGTTCACTCATTCTGTTTCTGTGTAGATAATTAAGCATCATTTTTGTCTTTTTCAGGTATTTAAATATGGCAAGAGGTCCTATAAGACACCTCCTAAATCTGTATTCCACCAAGAACAATTTTTCAAGGGTTACAAATTTTCTTCATTCCAATCGTTTCCTCCATCATTTACATCCATTTGAATCCATATTTTACCCTTCCCCTCACCCTCAAATTACCAACCCTATGAAATTTAAGCCATCTTACTTCACCCAATTTTCAGATTTTTACATTTTTCCATACTTCAATGTACACACAATTTGCGCACTTTCGGACAATGTAAAAAAGGAGCCTGCTTCAAACTTAACAGAAAAGGTAGAAAGCGAACCCAAATTAGAATGCGGTGGTGATGGATTTACAGAGAGTGAACTGGGAAATGAAGATACTGGGTCGGAACATGAAAGATTGAATTTTGTCCAGATAGCAAACCGTGATCCAGTTGAAATTTATAAAGATATTAGAGATGCTGTAAAGTCAGAAAAGCAAAGCCGGGCTGATTGGGATACTTTAACTGAGATTTTTAGGTCATTTTCCAAGTCCGGTTGGGCATCGAATCAGGCCCTAGCTGTTTATATTGGTGCCTCATTTTTTCCCACTGCTGTTCACGAGTTCCGTAAGTTTTTCTTCAAGAATTGTAAGACTGATTTAGTCAAGTACTTGGTATCGCTTGGCCCTGGTGATGGGGCCGATAAGTTTTTGTTCCCTGTTTTTGTTGAGTTTTGTATAGAAGAGTTTCCAGATGAGATTAAGAGGTTTAGGAAAATGGTGGACTCAGCTGACTTGACGAAGCCACACACTTGGTTCCCTTTTGCGAGGGCAATGAAGAGGAAGATAATTTATCACTGTGGACCAACTAACAGTGGCAAAACATATAACGCGTTGCAGAGATTTATGGAAGCCAAGAAGGGAGTTTACTGTAGTCCTCTCAGGTTGTTGGCAATGGAGGTTTTCGATAAGGTGAACACATTGGGGGTTTATTGTAGTCTTCTTACAGGGCAAGAGAAGAAGGATTTTCCGTTCTCAAACCATGTTGCTTGTACTGTTGAGATGGTGTCAACAGATGAGCTGTATGATGTGGCCGTTATTGATGAGATTCAAATGATGGCCGACTCTAGTAGAGGTTATGCTTGGACTAGGGCTTTGCTCGGGCTGAAAGCTGATGAGATACATTTATGCGGCGATCCAAGTGTTCTGAATATTGTTAGGAAGATTTGTTCTGATACTGGGGATGAATTAGTAGAACAACATTACGAGAGGTTTAAGCCTCTAGTGATTGAGGCAAAGACCCTCTTGGGAGATCTGAAAAATGTAAGGTCCGGGGACTGTGTTGTGGCATTCTCAAGGAGAGAAATTTTTGAAGTTAAATTGGCAATTGAGAAGTATACTAATCACCGTTGCTGTGTCATATACGGTGCCTTACCACCAGAGACTCGTCGACAGCAAGCAACTTTGTTTAATGATCAGGATAATGAGTTTGATGTCTTAGTTGCAAGTGATGCTGTAGGAATGGGTTTGAATTTAAATATCAGAAGGGTTGTCTTTTATAACCTTTCAAAGTATAATGGTGATAAAATGGTTCCAGTGCCAGCATCGCAGGTGAAACAGATTGCCGGAAGAGCTGGGCGTAGAGGAAGTCTCTATCCTGATGGACTAACTACTACTTTGCATCATGATGATTTGGAGTACTTAATAGAGTGTTTAAAGAAACCTTTTGACGACGTTAAAAAAGTAGGGCTTTTTCCATTTTTCGAGCAAGTCGAGCTATTTGGAGCACAACTTCCAAATATAACATTTTCCCAGCTCCTAATGGAATTTGGTGAGAATTGCCGATTGGATGGGTCTTACTTTTTGTGCCAGCACCAGCACGTGAAGAAAATAGCTAATATGTTGGAAAAGGTTCAGGGGTTATCTCTGGAAGATCGTTTCAATTTTTGTTTTGCCCCTTGCAACATTAGGGATCCAAAAGCAATGTACCATCTTCTGAGGTTCGCTTCATCGTATGCCCAAAAGCTTCCTGTCAATATAGCAATGGGCATGCCCAAATGTTCTGCTCGTAGTGATTCAGAGCTCTTGGATCTTGAGACCAGGCACCAAGTAGTGTCTATGTACTTATGGTTGTCTAATCACTTTGAGGAGGAAAGTTTTCCATATATTAAGAAGGCCGAGACAATGGCTACAGATATTGCTCACTTATTGGGCGAATCACTCTTAAAGGCTAGCTGGAAGCCAGAATCAAGGAATGCACGTAACACAAAGCTGCAACAGGAGGAGGATGGTTATCAGAGGCCAAGGTCACTGGTTAAGTTACAGGAAAAGTAAGTTGTACTGCATTCTTTTCATTCTTTTGCTGTTTTCTGCGAGAATAATTATATCTGGAAATAAGCAAGTTGTACAGAGTTGTTTCCTAATATAATATATTCCTTTTCAGTTTCACATTTCAATGCATTTTCATTCGTCTTTTTGTATGATGTGTCTTTTTCTTTGCCATATTCTATAGAAAGATAGTTTTAATGCATTGAGACTTACGGGTCTGAATTGAATTTCCAGAACTGTTTTTCCTTTGAACTTTGAGAAAAGTGGTATAAACGTTTTTCTTTTTGGTGCTTTGTACAAATATTGCTAGTTTAATAAAGCTGTAACTGTCAAATAGGTCTCTGTAGTTTCTTTTAATCACGAGCTGGTGTAGAGGAACTAAGTTTTTTGAAGAGAACATAGGAATATAAGTGTTTTAACTCGTCTAGAACTGTTATGGAATCATGGAATTCATAGACTGCCCTTTTGGTCATAGTAGGAGTAAGGGTGATAATGGTCTCTCTATAGAGGATCATGTTGTTCCAAAGATTGATATTTTTAAGTATTTAGGTTAGATTATTAGTTGGACTTGAAGAGGGTAAAATGAAGGGTATATCAGTGTAACAACCGATGTTTTGAAAACCAGCGTAAACAGCACTCGGAAAAGGTGAAGGTCAATGGTAAAATAGAACAAGTGGTCATAATTATTAAATAAATAAATGCAAAATATTCATAAGAGTGTAAAATTTGATATATTGTTTTATTTATTAGACTATTTTT